TTCTATTTCTAATGTGATGGTTCCATTACATTTTATGCACGTATAATTTCTATTATTTACTTCGGCGGACGTTCCAGGCAAGATTTTTTTCAATATTTCCAAGAGTTCCCATGACAGATGATTGTAAATAATATATTAAAAGTTCTAAAAGAAATTCTAATGATCGAAAGCGATTTAACTAACCACTTAAAACTTATTCAATCCTGAAAGGTCAGCGAGCGAAATTTGACTAAGTCCACAGCAAACATTTTTTTCAGAGTTCTCAGGAGTTCTAAGGTCGAAAGCGATCCAACGAACCGCTTAAAACTTATTCCACCTTAAAAATCCGGCAAGCGAAATTTGGCCAAGTCCTGAGCGAATTTTTTTTTAGAGTTCTCAGGAGTTCTGAGGGCAGTTTTGGATAGCATTCTATGAGTTCTAATAAAAATTATAATGGTCTCAAGCGATCCGACGAACCGTTTAAAACTTATTCCACCTTAAAGATCCGGCAAGTGAAATTTGGCTGTCCTGAGTGAAATTTTTTTCAGAGTTCTCAGGAGTTCTGAGGGCAGTTTTGGATAGCATTCTAAAAGTTCTAAAAGAAATTATAATGGTCGAAAGCGATCCGATCAGTAATTAAAATGTTATTTGACGTCAAACGTCTGTTACGGTAATACTGTTAGTAATTATTTTTTAAATAATTCTGTGAATTTAATTTTTTTCTTATATCAGGAACTCTAGAACTCATCGAAAGAAATCAGATAGGCCATTCAGAACTATTCGAGCTTGATGTTCAATTTTTCGAAATTCTTAATTTTTTGGAAAAAATCAGAATATCTTTTTATCTATCAGGAACTCTAGTATTTGTCAAAAGACATCGAATGAGCTACTCAGAACTATTTGATCTTGAAGTCGGGTGTGAAGTTAGCATCCCATTTTTTAATTGCTATTTTAGTACTGTTAATCGCCGGAACTCTTTTTATTAATATAAAAGAACTCTTATATTCTTCAAAAGGAAGCTAGAACTGTAATCAGAACTATCGAGAACTAAAGTTGGGTTGCTAACTTCACATACCCCGGATCGGTCTGGTCCTCAGGAGCTCGATCGCCGCCGTTTTATAGTCGTATTCTCTACGACTGATACGGCGGCGATCGAGCGGCGCGCCTATCAGCGCGAGGCACGGCGACGGCGTGTGATCGCGGCCGCGCGCGCTAGCGGCAGCGCGTGATTGCCGCGGCGCGCGATAGCAGCGGCGCGAAATAACGGCGCGCGTGTTGCTACCGTACGTTCGCACACGAGAATGGGGACACTCAAAAAAAACTCGGATAACGTTGTTTCCAAAGCAAACTCTTTCTTTTTAATCGCAAAGAAGATGTTGGGTTACAGCCAGACTTATACAGTCTCGGTAAAAAATACAACTGGGTTCTTTTTCTTGTCAGCGCGCTCTATCGGCCGCCGCTTGCCATAGGGTAACTCCTTGGGTTGCTAGAGCTATTAGTTCTTGTTTCTCTCATCAGGAAAGGCGCGTCTTTCAACATCCTCACATCTTAAGTTGCTCCCTCTCCTTTTCGGTACAATGGAGCAACTTAATAACTCAGTGTAGATGAAATCAAAATCCCAGACGTTCTGGCTGCTTGATAATCCGACCGCTTCTTGTTCTTGGCTCAGGAATCGACGTTGGAACGGTTTCAGTCAGTTCCTTCAATTTTTCTGGCAACGTCGGATCAGGTTCTGTCCGTGGTTGATCTTTAATTGTCGGCACAATCGAATCAAGAAGTTTTCTTGATTCGTCTCCCGTGGTTTCCATTTCCAAAGGAATTAATCTCTGTATTGGGCGAATTAACTCTCCGCCGGCAGTTTGTAACTTCACGACTCGGACATGGCCGTCTTTACTCGGAAAAAATTGTTTAATCCTCGCCATAGGCCATTCAAGCCGTTTCTGTGAATCATTGGCGATAAGAACAACATCACCCACCGAAAACGGAGTGGCAGCGTGTTTGCGTTTATTTCGTTGAGACAGCTGTCCTAAGTATTGAATGCGAAAACGGTTTCTCAATTCCTCCTTCAATCTTTGACGATATCGTAGGCTTTTGGATAGTTGAGTTTTACCAATCAAATCTAAATCTGATACTCCGTCTTCCTGTATGTCTCGGAGGAACATAATAAGTGAGTGGCCTTGAGTTTATTACGGCTTCGCAGTCACACAAAACCGTATTCATTGCTTCATAGTTGATGGAAGCTCTTCCCAGTGTTCTCTTCAATAGATCTTTCAACATGCGAACAAGACGCTCCCACCATCCTCCCCACCAGGCCGCTGACGGAGGATTAAATCGCCACTCTATTTCAATAGTAACACAATATCGAGAGATTTTCCTCCAGTTGATACCTCGCAGTAGATTAGCCGCTCCGACAAAGTTTCTTCCATTATCGCTGTAGATAACAGCAAGTCTTCCACGTCGTGCTATGAATCTCCTGAGGGCCTCCAAAAATCCTTCCGTTGACAAAGTGGAGACAAGCTCGAGATGAACCGCTCGGTAGACCGCACACGTAAAAAGGCAAATATAAGCTTTGCTCTCGTTAGCTAAAAAAAGTGGATCCGCATAATACCTGTCACCTCAAAAGCGGTGGCATCTCTAACCCTATTCTCTGGCAAAATCGCCGGTGGCGGTTCTAATCTTTTCGCAATATATCGGCGACATATCGTACACTTATGAATTACGGCTCGTACCGTTTTACGACAGTGGAGAACCCAAAACTTTTCCCGCAGGTTATTCATCGTAATGTCTATCCCGGCATGATTAAGTCTTATATGTGTGTAGTAAACGATCCTTCCCGTTAATAAATGTTTCAGATCGAGGATTATCGGACATCTGAAGTTGAAATCGTCTTGGCGATTGGAAATGATCGTTCGCGTACGTAGAATCCCTTTGTGTTCGATGACGTTTAGTCCCTGCAAACGTGGATCTTTCACTCCCTTGAACGATTTTTGTTGCGCCAGTCGACACAGCAGCAATTCAGCCGAAATTAGTTCCTTGACAGTTATTTCGGTGTTCTTGATCACGCAAAGCTTCCTGCAGTTAGTCACGAATCTCAACATCCAGGCCGTCAAACGTAAGATTCTAGGATACGACGAGTGCTTCTGCAAATACCAGGTAACATTATCTTCCGCAGAGTGTGTAGTGAAGTTCACAATCATCTCTCCCTCGGCAGTGGCGGACGTTCCACTCTTTTTCTTTAACTGCCTCGGAGTCTTGCGAAGCTCTTCGTTTACTAATTTCTCGTCAATTTTTTCCTCTTCAGCGGGCCATTCTTCAGGAGATGATTTCAGCCACGTCGACCCCTCCCACCACCTAGACTCAAGGAGTTTTTTGGCGTCACAACCGCGGGAAGGCAAATCCGCTGGGTTTAGAGATCCAGGTACATATCTCCAGGCTCGAGGGTTGGTTATCTTTCTTATTTCTTGAACTCGGTTCCACCGCCCATTGTCTTTCATGACGTATCCAGGATAAGACAGTAGTTGAGTCACTCCAAAAATATCTCTTGCTGTGTTTGTAAGACATCGCCTTATCGAAGGAATGCATCATCCTTGCTCCTATTGACGCGGCGAGCAGCTCAAGGCGTGGTATCGTCTTCTTTTCACGCGGCGCCACTCTCGATTTCGCTTCAACAAGATGTACTTGGATTTCGTAGTCTGTTTGCACTCGAATATACAAAACAGCAGCATAGGCATCTTTACTCGCATCCACAAAGACATGAAAGGATACGGCATCTCCATTGCGTTGATCACCAAAAATCCATCGAGGAATCTTCAACTGTAGGAGTAGATTCAACTGTTCCATCCATTCTAGGAACTCTTTTTTGCTGTCTATATCGATTTCAGCATCCCAGTCTAAATATTGGTTCCATAAACGCTGCAACATCAATTTCGGTTTCAAAAGCACAGGGCAAGTGAAGCCTAAGGGGTCGAACACTTTCTGGACTGACGAAAGCACGACTCTTTTGGTTATTTCTTTCGGAATTGTATCTGGAAAGGGTCCCATGAGGGTTAGAGTGTCTCTTTCTGTGTCCCACCGGAGGCCAAGTACTGTAGTCGAGTTGTTCGGTTCCTTCATGCCCGAATACCTCCAATCTCTCAAATCGAACAGAGCTTCGTTCATCAGGGTGATGGCTTCTTCAAGCAAGATCTGCAAGTCGTCATATGAGTCAACACTAGTAATGCAGTCATCTACATAGAAAGACTTTGCCAATTTCTCACACACAAGTCTCCTGCGTGGAGAATCAGAGGCCTTCAAACCCTGCTCGAGAAGTAACTTAATTGTTGCTCCTAATAAAAAGGGGCTGCTCGACACACCAAAGACTACTCGCCGATGTCGATAAGTTTCAACTCTCCCCAGGGAGTCCCACCACAGGAATCTCAACACATCTCTATCCGCTTGAGCGATGCTTATCTGAAGAAAGGCCTTAGCTATGTCTGCTGTTACTCCTATCTTCTTCTCTCGAAATCGATGTAACATATCCGGAATGAGTTCGATGAGGTTAGGTCCCGTCTCCAAACATTGGTTCAACGATGGCGAATCTTCTGATTTTGCGGAAGCATCAAAAACTGGACGTATTTTCGTCGTACTGCTTTCTTTAACAACATGCCTGTATGGAAGATAATAGCTCTTGTTAGCAATCTCCTCATCATTCACTTTCTCGATAATACCCTTAGAAAGCCAATCGTCAAAGACAGCTTTGTAATCCTCGAATAAGCTTTCTTGTTATAACCTCTTCGTTACTGTGTCGAGTCTTTTCTGTGCGATATGTCTATTGTCTTGTAATGCAGGATGATTTTCCTTCCAAGGTAATTGGACCTCATAGCGTCCTTCTTCGTTCTTATTAGCTGTATCTCGAAATGATGCTTTCACTTCCGCTTGGCGTGCTTCTTTGGTTATACTCTCTATAGGATCTATGATACCCAAAGTATCCAATCTCCATAGATCCGAGATGCTTGCTTCTTGTGTCATCATAGACATAACCATCAGAGCAGCATCTTCTTTCCTTTGTTCAACCAGAATTTACCTAGCAGAGTCCAACCGAGTTTAGTCTCTATGGCGGTCACGCCATTATCCAGCTGAATAATTTTCTCGTTGAACAGCCTACCAGCAACGTCAGCGCCAATAAGCAAAGTAATAGATTCTTCTCCTTCTCCGGTATCACATAGTCGTATGTGGTTTTTCTTGAGTATATCTGCCCATGGTGCGCTGTTTGTTTTAGGAGGGTTGCGGCAAATAACCTCTTCTTTAAAAGCGATAAAATTGCATTGATACGATCCGTCCAGACAATCCACGTAAACCCGACAAGCTTTATGATTTTGCGGTTTGGTCTTGATTCCACCAAACAGCAAATGCACCATCGTTTGTTCGCCCACGATGTCATAACCTAGCTCTTCAGCTACCTGTCCCAAAATGTATGATTTATGTGAACCCGTATCAATAACAGCTCGCACATCTACAGCTCCCTTAGGTCCTCGCAGCTTAATCTTCAACATTGGCAGAAATACCTTGACATCCAATGATACGTTAGTGAGACAACTATTTTCTTCATTAAAGGTTTGCTTGACTGATTCTTTACCCGTAGTTTGATTCGGCTCACTATTACTTGAAAGATTTCTACACATGAGCAAACAGTGCCCCCTTTTGCACCAAGGACATTTTTCTTTGCTGCGACACTTCTTATAACTATGTCCAGATCGCAGACATTTAAAACAACCATGTTTTCCTTTTACAACCTCGACTCGTTGATCCATGGGCATACTTCGAGCTTTCTCACAGTGCAAGCTGTCATGGCTTTCTTCGCAGAACAAGCGTTTAGATATATTTGTATCCCTGAGCGTGAGTAACCCAGCAGCTGTAGCCACATCTTGACCTCGATCCAAGTCACTTTTCGACTTCTTTTTATTTTTATTCTTTGCAGGATCATCATTTATATCAAAGCACGTTTTAGCCATATGAATGCGTTCCTCACTCTCCACTTCTTTTCCTAGAAAAGTCATCAAGTGCGTGAGACGATCTTTAGCCGTGATACTTACTGTAGGGACATCCGCTGATATGGTCGCTGTCCGCTGCCATGTCCGTAAAACTTCTTCCGGCAACGAGGATTCTACTAATGGGAATAACATCGCCGCACACATCTCCGTAGTTACATCCAAGGATTCGAGTGCACGAAGATGCGTTTCAAGTTTATCATAGATTGTCATAAGCGATACGTTTTTATTCTTACTCAGAACCAACTTCAAGAGCTCACGTACATAAAATTCTATCAAGAGATCTTTCTTACCGAATCGAGACTTAAGGCTCTGTATTGCCTTCTCATAGTTTTCCGCGGTAGGAGGGAAACTGTTAACGATCTCGTACGCACGAGAATCCTTTGTTGTCGACTACAATAAATAGTGGAATTTATCCTCTCTCGTTACGGTCGCATTGTCATGAATTTTCTTGAACGTGCTCCAAAACGCTAGCCAGTCTTTAATCTCACCGCCGAATTTCCTCAATTCGATCTTAGGTAGTTTCAGTGCGCGTATGTTTTCCTGTGCCGATACGACCGTTGGGAATGGCTGCGGTTGTGCTGCCTGCATCGCTGTTTCCCTTGTCTCGGATAGTTGCGTCAACTCGATCTTCGCGTGATGATATCTTGCCATATATTCATCAGCGCTTTCCATTTCTCTAGAAAGAGCTTCTTCCGTCTCTCCGGCTTCAATCATTGCCTCCTGTATCTTCTGGCTCAATTCACCGAGCTCCGTCGCTTTTTCTCGAATCAATGCAAAATTGACTCGCAACGAGGTTATGTCCGGCGATCCTTTTTTCGTCTCGCTCAAGAAAGCGTTGTACGTCCGCGTGAGCGCGATCCGCGTCACTTTTTGCGATATTTTCAATTTATCCATTATCCGAAGATTGCCCTTCTCTCGAATGTCTTCTTACCTCACTACGTAACGGTTAGCAACAGTACAAAACCAGTCCTGTCACGGTCGCCAGAATGTTGTTACCGTACGTTCGCACACGAGAATGGGGACACTCAAAAAAACTCGGATAACGTTGTTTCTAAAGCAAACTCTTTCTTTTTAATCGCAAAGAAGATGTTGGGTTACAGCCAGACTTATACAGTCTCGGTAAAAAATACAACTGGGTTCTTTTTCTTGTCAGCGCGCTCTATCGGCCGCCGCTTGCCATAGGGTAACTCCTTGGGTTGCTAGAGCTATTAGTTCTTGTTTCTCTCGTCAGGAAAGGCGCGTCTTTCAACAGCGCGATCGTTTCGATCGATTAAAGGTGGCGCAAAGCGCCGTTCTTCGGCCCGACAGATGGTCGGTCGGGCCGGTAGTAACGAGGTGCATTTGCGCCTCGTTACATACAAATAATCTTTTCTATGTTTTATGAAGGAGAATTCTCGCATCAGTGCTGCGAAATTGTGCCCGCGCACACCACAGCGTGCGAGGGGAAGCGTCCCCTCCATGCGCCTTCACGCACACAACGCTGCTGCTCCGCCTATCGATGTGAAGCCTCGTCGCCTCACGCCAGCCTCGCCGAGCGAGAAAGAGAAAGAGAATGAGATAGAGAAAGAGAGAATGAGAAAAAGAAAGAGAATGATCTTCGCTCCTTCTCGGTCCTTCTCGCCCCGACTCAACTGCGTTAACGCGCGTCCGAGCGTATTTTGGCTTTCTCGGCGTGGATCTGAGTCGTGAGCGCGAATATAATATATCGTCGCTGCCGTGAAAAGATCCCCTATGTAAATTTTCTTATCAAATCAAGATGTTTACATCAATATACTATATGTAGTATATTCACAATTTTATTCTACATATAATGACACAAGTATGTTACAATCAGAAAACATGCACATAGGCTTTTTTACGGCAGCGACGATTTTTGAAAAAATATGAAATAAATATAAGGCGAAAATTTAATATAACGTGCCGGTACGTCGCCCGGAGCGAAAGTAACATACTGGCAATTTCCTAACGAACGTTCTATGTCTTCATAAGAAACTTTAAAGCCGTTCGTTTATCGTTATGTTCATGGAATGAATGCGGAACTGATATTATCTCTTGAAGCAGCTGTAACAATATGAAAGCAATAGTGCTAAGAGAAGTTTATGCAACGTGTAAATGTTTATCAAATGGCGTTGACAGCGTTAATTCGTTCTTGATGCGGATCCAAGTCGCGGACATGACAATCATCTATACGGCTATGTTAACCTACTCATAATAAAAACCACCGTTGAAAACTAAGGCTAATAGCAGTTTACAGTTTGCAATGTATTATAGATACGAACATTTACAAGTGGTTGCAGCTCTTGTGAGTAATTGTAAATATATTTTAATATCCGAAATAGAACTTAATCTTGCGAAGAAAGGTGTAAACGAAGATTTCGTGAAACAGACGCTCGCTGATAAATATCGAGAAATCGAGGAAAACGTACGGCGTCAAATAAAAAATTTACAATTTTTAGACACATATTTTAATATTGTATTCCGTGAATTAACCACGATTCATTTAAATGAAATTATACACGAAATTGTAACGAACGCAGAATGCTACGAGTGTTTGCAAAACTACGAATGTAACTTTAGAAATAAAATGTGAATTTATTTTATAAAAATGTTATATATTCCTTTCTCCCCACCTCTTTTCTCTTCCCTGCGATCTCCAATTCGTTGTAACAAAACCCAACTTAACTTCAAAAATAAAATGTGAATTTATTTTATAAAAATGTTGTATATTCCTTTCTCTCCACCTCTTTTCTCTTCCCTGCGATCTCCAATTCGTTGTAATAAAACCCAACTTAACTTAACTTTTCGAGTTCGAAAGCAAAGGGGACATACAGGTAAAAATATATTCTACTTTTATATTTCCCCTGATTTCTTTATCTCCGAGCGTGTCCAGTCTAAAATTTGGTCTATGTTCTCATGAATGCTATTTATGCTCTCTATATTTTTTCCGGTAGTCTTCCAGCCAATCCTTCAATTAACATTCTCATCTACATACTGCTTCGTCTCAACATTACTCTCATGCAGTAGAAGCTTTACAGCATTTATATTCTCATCGATATACTGTTTCTTCTCAACGTTACTTTCATGCAACATAAGTTTTACAGACTTTATACTCTCATCCACATAATATTTGTGCGCAGCGTCATTGAAGGCTTCCGGCTGCGGTACATTATGTATTGCATGCATTTTTGCATCGAAACATTTGCCATCACGATCTTTACTATTGGCGGTTAAACAAAGGGCATTTTCATGTACATATCGTTTGGTTGCAACGTTGTTTAAATGATATCTCACACCTGCAACACATTCTTCCACATATTGTTTGGTTGCAACGTCACTGTCGGCTTCAGGTTGCGCTACATGTTGTATCTTGCGCGACTTTGCATCAAAAACTTTGGCAGCGTTTAAACAAAGGGCATTTTCATGTATGTAATGTTCAACATGTTCATTCCATTGATACGCTTCGATCGGAGAATTATTGCTGTCTGGCAACACTCCAAACTTATGCGTTGACATTTCGGAGCAAGCTGTGCCGATGCTGTACCGATTGGCTGACGACTGACTGACTGACTGACTCGTGTCAGTGCAGCGCTGTTTAATTTATAATAAGACCAGCTTCGCGGAGTTCTTCGATAATCGATAAAATTTCGTTGTCATGAGCGTTGTTGCCGGCTTGGCGCGAAGCGTCAAGCAATCGCAAACGATCCACCAGCTCGTTGGGATCATCCCAATGCACGTAATCGATATTGTTGTCATTTAAGGTCATCATAGCTTGAGATGCGTATAAACCTTTTCCGACCACTTTATCGCTCGACGCATGTTATATTAGGGGCGCGATTATATGTTTATATTTGTGTCCCTTGTTACCGAGTATCGGATTTTGCGGGAGGTACCCGCGTCTGTGAGCATTCGTCGCCAATAGTATACTTTTGTATTTTTGCATATCAGCCTCGGTGTACACAGAATCATCGGGGATTCTTTTGAATATTAGCTCATAAAGACCGGGTGTTCCAATGTATCCTGTTTCGCCTATGATTATATTATCGTCTCTGTCTACATCGACACGTTTATCACCGAGCTCCATCGTTACTAAGACATACGCCGTAAACATAATCTATGGTGTTATCTTTTCCACTACTTAGCACAGCTCCCATATATTTTTGACCCAACGGACCAAAATAATCATGTAAAGTTTGTTGTCCTTTGTACGTTCGCAACTGACGTCTAACAGATGTCACTACCGGTTCATCGAGGGTTTCGGAAACATTCTCATCATCATCATCAGTGAGTAGATTGTCGATCGGTGAAGGTTCATGTGGTTCCTCATATTGTAGAGCTCCCGTCGATGTAGAAACTATCGAAGGATCTTTGAATAGTTTCCGTTTCAGCGGAGTCAATGCGACTGGTGAAAGTTTTGCCTTACACTTTATCTTTTTTTCGGGTTTTAATATTACACTCTTTGTTTCTTCGCTTGTACTCATTGATAGTGGCGCAGTTTTAACATCAACGTTACTTTCCATATCAACGTTACTTTCCACATTAGCGCTGCTTCCCGCGATTTGCTTGAGAGGTTCAATAATAGGTTTAAAGTGTCTCTGCAATGCAGCATTCTCAACAATTCTACCGGTTTTCAAAGCGCGATACTTCTTGCGGATCGATTCGCTAGTTTTCGCAATCTCTTCCGCTACCTTTCCACGATTCTCGATCTTCACGCTACTATTCATCATTGAAATATTTGTCTCGTGGACGTTGAAGATGTTACCACGTTGAGGTTGCAACGACGATTGAGCATCTCACAGCACAGCAAAGTCGTTAAATCCTTTCCTGTATTGTCCGTTGGTTATTGAGCTGTCCTTATCAATCACTGTGAAACCATATTTATCTTCCCAACATTTGCGACACAATGCACTGAAATTCTCATATGACATGTCGGTGTTCACATGATCGTTGTACACATGTTTCAAATTGGTACCATCCTGTTTAAAGAGAATCAGAAAATTTGCATTGCCCCGTATAAGATGCTTGGGTATTTTTGCGTACGTCTGACAGAGATAGAAACAGTCAACGTTCGAATGACGACCCATGGCAAAGTATTCTCTTATCGTATCTTGCTTGTCACATGCTACATCGTCAAAGATAAAAATAGAATTTTTGGGTGCTTCGGTCGTTGGAGTCACGTCGCTGTTATCGGAGAATGTAAAGTATCCAATTTCATCTATCGGTTTCAACAAATTTTCCAAGTAGCGATATTTAGGTTGTTGCAACGATTTTGAGTACACGTACAAGTTCTCGAAACGCAGACCGTGCAGACTTTCCAGCAAGCTGATGAGAACATTCGTCTTGTCGCAATTCGAGGGATCGCATATAATGCCGCGTATGGTGTTCGGAAGCATGTTTCCATGCCTGCGCGCCTCTTGCTCAATCATTGATTGCGTTCTATTGTCGAAATTTGTCACACGTATCGACGTCGGTTGCTTCACGAACCGCATGTTTCCCCCACAAGTCACAAAATTGATTATGTTAACGGATCGTTGCGATTGAACTATATATATATAGACGCGTCGATCTTGGAAACGCTCAGTTTAGAAAATGTTGCTCCTTCTGACAGATACTCGTGATATTCGAGAGCTAACCTCCAAACAGTTGAAATACATACCGAAGATTGTTTTGTTGCACGATTTTGCAAAGTATATTGACGACTTATGGGGCAGACTCCCTGAACATATAAAAGTTGATCCAAAAGTTCAGCAGTATCGTCGGTGTTTGGAACATTACAATCGTCCGTGGCAGCGAACGCATATCGATGGCCCGGCACTGCTGATCCAGGACTGTAGTGAATGCCTTCAACAAAGTCAAAGTCGGCAGCGGCCTGTTGAATCGCGCGATAAATGCGCTTC